CCAAACCCCTCCTTTGCGTGACGCTAATCTGCGGTGATTTGTCCGATTGGTTTCATTTTCATTTCATCATGTCTGTAATGCCTGATAAAGCAGCGTTGTGAGCGCAATGCTGCTTTGTGTACAGAGTTACCGGGGAAACCGCTATTTTTATCGCTCCAAAAGCGCCACCTAGTGGCAAAGAACGAATTTGCATTTTCATTCAGACCAAGGAGAAAGACCAACAAATGGGCGGGCAATATGCTAATGTTTCATGTTGACGTCAACATGAAACGACTTGGGATTGAGTTCTTTGTCATGACTCGTTTCAATGATTCAGAGTCGACTCTTTCTTTTGAGAGACAATAACTTTATAGACGGTGCACTTTCAGATTTAAAACTTTGCAGGATGTTTTCATTCACTTAGAGCTGTGTTACACACTGCATGAACGGCAATTTTCAAAAATCCATAATAGGGGCACTTTAAGTAAATATACACAAATATCCATTAAAGCTACAGTTACTTAGTTAAGAGCAGCGAGTGATTCTCTCTTTTTCTTTTATTGTTTGGTTAACATTATTAACATAGCCTAAGAAATGCATGGGTCCGTTAATGCACATCCGATATTTTCTTAACTATTTATGTTCACTTAAGACGAAACCAACTGTTTACGTCGATACTCGTCAAGACAGCCATTCAGAGATAATTTTGCGCCAATTTGCTGAAGACGTGACAAAGAACTCAATTTGGTATTTGTTTGCTGTCTGAGAGACGACTTCCTTGTGTGTGCGCACAGAGACGATCTATGACAGCGTCCTCGAACACTTTGAATAGGAACGTGATGTAATTTTAGTCTAGAATCGAAGTACTACATGTCTGCCATCTAGTGGTAGGGAATACAAATGAGATATTACACCATATTAGGAACTACAGTCTATTTTATTAAGTATGACGTCTTGTCGCAATTTTGCGACTTTGGCGCTTAGAGGGTTAAACTGACAAGCCTTAAAACACATGAGAATGATAAACTTAGAGGAAGCAGCACTGGCCCAATCATTCAGATAGTTTTAGGGGGCTGAGACGACAGATAGGGTCTAGGGCCTAAAAAGGGTCTAGAACTGCCCCTGTCGCTATACACCTATACACAATTTGCAGAAAGAGAAAGCAGAAAACCATCAGAAGAGCGAAAACAAAAAGAATGATTAGATGGATGACATGTATAGCAGCATGCGGTAAGGAACATTCATATCCTGGAGATAAGTCAGTAAATTCGAGTAAAATCACAGGCTTCGCTTATCCCGTGCGAATGCGCCACATGAAATTCAGATGTGGTGGGGTAATTTCTAAATCACACGACGTCCCCAGATAATAGTAATCCCATGCGAATATGGCTAATTAAAGTGTTTTTTGACCTTACATGCATGTCAACCTGTTGTTGGGGACTCCCAAAACCAAAATATGAACCTTTCATTACCCATAATAGGGGCACTTTAAATCAAGAACAAACTTTCCAATGGAGTAAGAAAAATAAGGTTAATTATTTGGATAATTGTCTAAATATTTTATGGCATTTTGCTTCTCAAGTAAATATATCCTGTTTTAAGGATGGTTAAATATTAGTGGATAACAGCACAATACAAAAATACTGATTATTAAAATTATAATTTTATTTAATTAATTATTTATTTATTTTGTTGTGTGCTGGATACGTGTCATGACTGTCTTGATCCAATTAAATTGCCTTTAAATTTGTGTTTGGAATTTGGAAGAACTTTCCTGAATTTAATATATTTCAGAATAAATGTTTTTATTTAGACCATAGAATATATATCTATTCTTCTTGACAAGTATAATAGAGTAAATATTCTGTATAAATATACATATATATCACACATAGTTTAAATTTATTCAGATTGCTATATTTGTTAGACATTATCATTATTAGATATACTGTTAATCCTTATGAAAACATTTTGAGCAAATGTATTTTGAGTATGATTTCACACACAAAAGTGTGAATGGGTCCAAAAGCTTTTTTTTTTTTTTTTTTTACACAATATAAAAGATATCTGAACATCTCAGATTGGAGAACTTAATGGCTTTCTACTTTTAAATGATTCACTTTTGGTTTCATGGCCGAACAAATTGAAAAAAGGATATTGCATATTCACAAATGATTTCCAATGGTAATTAGAGCCGCGTTCTGGTATCTGAGAAGTTCTGACTCTAAACAGTAGAAACTGAATTCATAGTTCATTGATTCAAGAAAGAAAGAAAGGAACAAAGAAAGACTATAACTGACAAAATCAAAATTGAGCCTATTTACTTTCTTAATACATGTTATCATAATTGTGATTGATTCATCAGTGCACATATTTGCCAATTAAAAAATTTTGCTAATTAAAAAAAATCATCATATTCCGTCCTCAAAATGCAATTAAGCTCTGAAACGACATTATTTTGCATCTATTATCACAAATTTCTATTACTTCTCAACCTCTTCTCTCCAATCACCTGAGTCTAATCTGATATGTAGCACTTGCTTTTATGAATCAGCTCAGGTTAAAAACACTCCAGTCCCACCCTATATTTTTTTCAATTTTATTTGGAAATAAATTAAATTACATAAGTAAAATGAGTTGCGGAAGGTATTTCATGTTGACTTTAAACTGGTTAAAATTATCCTGCAAACTCTCTTGCCCCAGACTCTCTTATTTTGGCAACACTGTTACTAAAGCAAACACACATTTTGACACTTCTGTTTTCTTTTTCTTCCTTATTTTTGAATGTGAGCACTTTAAGACAATCTAAAACCCTCAGCTCATCCCACAGGGACGTAACCACCACAGACATTGGGATACTTTTCCCCCAAATTATTCTGATTAGTAATCAATCAAGATCTTTCACTGACTGATGGTCCCTCCAGTACTGAACATGCATGAAAGTGGAATGGCATGCTGGGAGTTTACAGTAACATAGCAAACCTAAACCCCCGCTAGCATTTAGCTACCGCTTACTACATAAAGCGGATGACATGAGCGTTCACCCTGTCCAATTCTGGGCTACTTTATTTAACTCACACAGATCCATCCCAGACTCTACGGTAATGTTAAACAGCTCAGAGTTCTGCTGATGCATGTAAACACAGACTCAACCGTACCATGTGAGGATCAATTCAGCAGCAATTACTCAAACTTCTAGACTTTCATGTGAGCGGATGAGTGGGATATGAATGGATCTGAAGTCATCTATGTGAAATGAACTGCAAAGAAGTAGAAAAACATCACAGGCAGGCTGTATATATTTTGTCTCTGCCGGGCAGGGTGGCGTCACTTAACAAGACCGAAAGCATCACTTGTAATCTTGGCGAGGGGTGATTTGCTCTTCTTTACTTTGATCTTACACAACTTGTTTTCTGAAATGGATATTTTTGATTGGATGAGCTGCTTTTGAAAGCAGTTGCATTAATGCACCAAGTTGCTATGTTGTAAGCAGCCTACACAAATAAATATTACTTGCTAGAAGAATAATTAAGATTAATGTACAGCATTCTCAGGTAATGCATTAACTGATGAAATGCATACAGTATCTTGAATGCAATGTAACTTGCTTTGGATAAAAACGCCTGCCAAATGCATAAACATAAATATTAATAAACTTCACCTTTTATTGCACATTGGCATCTTATACTATATTGCAATTGCAGCCATTTTATAAAAGCAATAAGCTACTCAAAACATGTGAATATATATATATATATATATATATATATATATTTATATACACACATACATATATACACATACATATATAGTACAAATTTGTGTACATTTTATTCATTTAGTATGAAAAATGAATTCATATTCAATATCAAATGTGGTTTTCAACCAACGTTTATATTAATATTACATATTTCTAAGAAAAATGTTGAAAAATGTATGACAGGTCTTCAGTTTTTCCATTAGAAGTTGATTTGATTGTGAAAACTGAGAATTGCATATGAGAATGACAGGTAATTGGAGGAATTTGTGACGTCAGCCACATAGGAAAGTCGTTATGAAGTCAAAATTTTTTTTTATTTCTAGTAATTGCAGTGATGCATCACGTACAATTAAACAAGATACATGCATTAAAGTGTAAATATCAGTTTTGCCCTCAAGTTGATTTAAATCTTCATCTCGCCCTAAATTAGCACTTCATGAGCAGAATGATTCTGCATTGTTTTTAAAACAAAACCGGACTCGATCCAAGAGCAGGAAGCACCTCATCACATGTTGACGTTACCATAGTGACAAATGGCTTCTTCTGAGGAGCTCAGGAGATGCAGATGCCAGTAAATTACTAATGCTGACTTGGGCTCGTACCCACACATATACACAGCGACCACAGAAAGGCCGAGAGTGCCCTGGCTCCTGAAGTTGACTGGTTTGTGAGTTCCAGTAAAGGTTGGTCTAGCTGGTTCCTCCCTTGCGCCCTGCACTGAGAGAGCGTTTATGGTGCTAATGCTTGCGGTGAGCAGGCCATTATGATCCAAACCCATCAGAACTGCTCCAAACAGACTGCGGCATTATAAAACAAACATCTTACGGGAGACAAATGCGCAGGTAACTCATATGCACAGATTTGTGCATTGAATACCCTGATCTAGGTTTCACGGCATCTATGGAAGGCCGTAAAGGCTCAAACATATATACATAGAATTACATGGTGCTCTTTTACATCAACAGACATTTTAAGCAGTCTGTTTACAAAGCAAAACAAGCATTAACTGGTCTATGCTTTAAACGGACAGGTTGCACTTTAAAAAGTGTTAGATAATAGTTCTCAAGGGAGTTTGTAGTCCATTTGCAACACGTAAAACCCAAGCATGCACTGTCACACGTTCAGAACTGCTAAACTGCCACAGATTCACAGCAAACTACAGCAGATACACTCTTATGAACGTTACAACTACGCCTGACAGCTTTTTGGTCACCACAGCGACGGCGGATGAGGGAAGGGAACGCCACGATGAGCGACTTACCTCGCAGTAAACTGGGCGAGTAGCTGGAGAATGTGTCGAAGATGCTGTTTGAAGCCATGTGTCCCACTCGAGAGGGAAAAGAGCTGGCCTCTCTGCCGCCTCACCGACTTCAGCCTGAGAGAATGACAGTCGGAGAAAGAGAAATAGAGAAACTACATAGACTGCCTGCAACCAAGAATTTGGGGTTTGAGAGTGCCACAGGAATCTTTCGCCACAAGCCGTCTAACAGAACAGCATATGTGCCGTGTGGTGAGAGTGAGCAAGAGTGAGAGAGAAAGAGAGAGAGAGAGAAAGACCAAGCCACTCTGAGCGATGGACTCACCTTTGACGATGGACACTTTTGTCTGTCTGTCTCTCTAGTAGTGGTGGTTGTACTCTCGACGTGGTTTTAGTCAGGTAGTTGAAAGTTCAGGTGTCTGACGCTCTCGCATTGGTGATCTCCGTGGGAACGGCCTGTCAGTCGCATGTCTGAGGTATCCGAGGTCACAGCTCCCGCGGTAGGGCTGCTGCACGGCAATCCCATGATCTGATTGGTGGA